CTACCACGCCCGGCTGATTTTTTTATTTATTGTAGAGATGAGGTCTCGCCAAGTTGCCCAGGCGGGTTTCGAACCCGCAGACTCAGGTAATCCACTCACCTTGGCCTCCCAAAGGCGCAGGATTACAGGCTGAGCCACCGAGCCCGGTTAGATTTCATGTTTCAAAAATGAATCTCTGAGGTGGTATTACTATCCCTGTACTACAAGCATTTTAGTAATGTTCAACTTTCTTAGAGGAGATTCTTGTCATCTCTTCTATATTGATAGCCAGTGTATGTATTGTTGGCGAAAGGATTCAACATGGTGTTTGTCTCTGTCTCTCTGTCTCTCTCTCTCTCTCTCTCTCTCGACAAGGTCTTGCTCTGTCACCCAGACTGGAGTGCAGTGGAACGATCATACAATCATATCTCACTGTATTCCTGAATTCCTGGGTTCAAGTGATCCTCCTGCATCAGCTTCCTGAAACATGATGCTTCTAACAAGCTGGGAATGTGGGGGTCAGAGGCTATCTTCCTTGGCTTGTTTCTTTGATCTTCAAGGAGATGATAGAATTTCTCCTAGGCACTACTATCTTCTCCCGTTAAGAATAATACTTGCAATCAGTTGGGCATGGTAGCGCATGCCTGTAATTCCGGCTACTCAAAGGCTGAGGTGGAAGGATCGCCGGAGCCCAGCAGGCGAGGCTGCGGTGGCCGGGAGTGGCCGCTGCACTCCAGTCTGGGCGATCGAGTGAGACTCCAACTCAAAAAAAAAAAAAAAAAGAATAATACTTGCCTGAGCCTGCAGGTTTGAGACCCGCCCGGGCAACTTGGTGAGACCTCATCTCCACAATAAATCAAAAAATTAGCCGGGCGTGGTAGCATGTGCCTGTAGTTCCAGCTACTCGGAAGGCTGAGGTGGAAGGATCGCCAGATCCCAGCAGGTCGAGGCTGCGGTGCCCGGGAGCGGCCACTGCACTCCAGTCTGGGCAATGGAATGAGACTCCAACTCCAAAAAAATAAATAAATAAAAATAAAAATAATACTTAGCCGGGCTTGGTGGCTCAGCCTGTAATCCCGTGCCTTTGGGAGGCTGAGGTGAGTGGATTGCCTGAGCCCGCGGGTTCGAGACCCACCTGGGCAACTTGGCGAGACCTCATCTCTACACTAAATCAAAAATTAGCCGAGTATGGTAGCGCATGCCTGTAGTTCCAGCTACTTGGAAGGCTGAGGCGGAAGGCTCGCCGGTGCCCAGCAGATGAGGCTGCGGTGGTTTGGGAGCGGCCACTGCACTCCAGCCTGGGGCGACAGAGTGAGACTCCAACTCAAAAAAAAAAAAAAAAAAAGAATCATACTTTTAGCCGGGTGTGGTAGCACGCACCTGTAGTTCCAGCTACTTG